CCATTATTCTTAGTGTAAAAAGAAAAAGCTAAAAACTAAGTACCTGTTAGAAAATTCGACATAATTGTAAAAGTTTTCCATTAATTGATTCCAGTTTCAAATGCCACCTTAATTTTTTATTCAAGGGTATGATAATAAAAGATAATAATAAACTTCAATATATATATATGTATCTTATAATTAATTTTCAATTTTTAATGCTCTTGCTTCATTCTGAAACATTCTGAAAAAAAAAAAACTATTTTATTCTACGAACAAAAGAAACGAAACGAGTTGAGACCTAGTTTTGCCACTTCATCCCATGGGTTACTCAAAGCAGCAAAATGAAACAACTATCATTCCTATAAAAGAACAATTTGCAGATATTATAGAGTAATTTAAGAAAAATAGTGAGCACAGAGAATGCTTTCATCAGCGTCTCCAAAATTTTCGAAATTTACTGTTCCAAACGAGCTGTAACCTCGCTTTAGAGTAACCATACTTCTTTGTATGAATAAGGCTTACTCTCTATCAAACAACAGTGTGAACCTACTGCTGCAGCACAAAAGTTAGTTATCATCAACTGGAGCGGCTAAGGCAACAAAAATCAGAGTAACATTCCTAATTTCCAGGTTCAGAGGTTTAAATATAGAAACTGCTTCTTTAGTTTCAGAAGTGCAAATGACGAAAGAGAAGTCTGTCTTCAGGCGATAACAATGAGAAAAAGGAATTAAAGCTACTGTGTCCTCCACTGATAAAAAATGAAAACAATTCTGAAATAATTCCCTTAAAAGACGAGAGTAAAGGCAGATTGGATAGGGAATCATTAATTAGAACTGAAAAATTTTTATACATGTGAGCCTTAAAATGTCGTTGTGAGGAACATGAGTCATATGTTATGAAAAACTTAACACATAAATCCTCTGTAGCCCAGTTATACTGTTGGTCAAAAAATTCCATTTTTCATTTTTCTGCTGCCGCAATTATTCAAAAAACATCCTTTATTGGCAAATTAGATTTTATAGAGGAGTTTTACAGCTATAAAATTCTCGCAGTTGTAGTTATCAGTCCCAATCCGTCCTCAGATTTTAAGAAAATGATCTCATTTTCATCAATAGATGGCACCAGTAGCTTGGCTTTCTTTTTTCATTATTATTGCCTGAGCATAGGCTTCTCTTTCGCAATTTGCATTTCTGCAGTTGAAGAAGAAGGTTCCATATTTAAATCTTCCAATCTATCCTTCGCACATTACACTGATTTGTGCTGCCTTAGCACATCCAATAATGGTTATTTGGCGTGTTATTTTAATTCACATTTTGTTATAATTAAGTTCTAAGTATATTTTAAATGATATTTTTAGAAGTTGATTAGTACAACACTCTTTTTATTTGAGTACAAATCGGTTTTTAACAAAAGTTTCCCTCCACCTCAAGTATCGTCTGCGCAGACACTTCGCGTCGGCGTGTTTAATCATATTTTGTAAAATAATTTTTGACATTTGAAAGAAGAAGACTTGCTTTAGAACACTGTTTTGTGAAGTTTGAAAAAAAAATGCGATTATCATTTAGTATAAGGTGATTGAATTGGAACTATCAAGCTACCAGAATAGAATCATCATTTACTTCACTTCTGGTGCAAAAAGTCAGCTACAGAATGTCACCAAATCGTGTGTTCAGCTTGAAGTACTAATGTTGTATCATATGACACTGTGAAGGTTTGGTATCGAAAGCTAAAAAACAAGGAATATGATATTCAAGAAACAGAAGGCTCTGACCGGCCTACTGATGCTGCTGAGGCCCTCCTAAGAGAACTTCTAAAAGAAGATCAGTATGCAACCGTTCGAAGGCTTGCTAAGAAGTTAAATGTCAGTGCTATGCCCATTAGTCGTGTTATGCATCGCCTAAACTTGACTCACAACTTCAAGCGCTGGGTGCGCATGAGCTGTCTCAAACAGATAAGGACAGAGGTTGTTCGAGCCTACACTAATCCGCTCGAATATCAACGCAAAGATAAAATTCTGGGCCGGATCTTCACTTGTGATGAAAAGTGGATTTACTTCACCAACACACGTAGAAAAGTGGTTTGATCTGCGCCTGGTAAGCCCGTTGGCAGCATCTTAAAGCGCAATTTGACTAACAAAAGGATCATGCTTTGTATCTGGTGGGATTGCCGTGATACTGCCCACAATGAGCATCTGGAAAAAGATAAAACTTTCGACAGTAAGGTGTACAGCTAGATGCTAGCCCGCGTTAACGCTGCTATCGAGGAAAAACGAACTGAATTTCCGGAGCAAAATGATAATGCAAGAAAGACTACACGTGTCTGCATTCACGGGCTGGACTCTGTACAGACTCGAATGGGATCTTATGCAATACCCACCATATAGCCCCGACATCATTCCTTCAGACTTTCTACTTTTTCTCACACCTGCATCTACATCTTGCTGGTGCTATCTTCCATTCTGCACAGGACGTCCGAAATGAAGTTGATCTGTTTTTGGACTCGAGGCACCAACAAGTTCCTAGCCTACCAAAACGTATTCAGAAAATCATAGATTTTGGTGGTGGTTACTGCTTGCTGCTTTCATGTTTATTTTTTTCTAATGTTATCAAGAACTTTTTTTTTTCGTAAAACTTTTGTTACATCCAGATATTTAATATGAGCGAATATATAGCACATTGCTTTAAAGCGCCTATTTGTACACATGGCTGTATGGCTTCCAACCCAAATCCATGTCATTGTTTTATGGCACGACGAATGTATAACTCACATTGTTGAGATAATCGATGCGTTTATTTCGAAGGAGACCGTAGCATGCTATTACGAAAATCAGTAACGTTCTCCAGGTTAAAAACATGTTTCGCATAATTTCTTTTCCATATTATTTTCTGAACTCTTCTGACGCTATTTTTCAGCAAGTTTATGTATAGTAGCTTCCATTAGTGGTTTAGTTACAGCTTTAAATCTGTTTCCATTTTAACCACAACATTAAGGGACTTCTTACAGTACTGATACCACAGTATTGACAAATCACAACTTGAAAATAATAGCTGGTATTTTAGTTTGTTTTGGATATGGTTAATTTAGGAAAAATAGTATTTATAATAAATTCATTTATTAAGCGTAAATGTCAGAAAGCAGCAAAATATTTTTTTAATTGGGTGTAAAATAAATCTAAAATGAAATTAGTTGATTATACGTATACTATTTAAAAAATTTAAACAAAACGATTTTGTGCAGCCCGTTTAAATTTAGAAAAGAGCTATTCCTGAAAATAAACCACTTATGCTCTGCACTACAAGATCCCATGTAAGGAATATCTTTGATTCTTTAGTCTAAATTTTCTTGCAAGAGAGAATCTAAATAAATAATTTCAGAGGGAAGTTTTAAAGAAATATTTAGAGACAGTTTGCATGAACTGGCAAGGATACGTTTCATAATCAGAATATTTTCTCCTTTACGTAAAGAATAAGCTAAGAAAATTAACATTAGAAAAATTCAAAAGCCAAGGAATAAATAAGCAATGCACTAAAACGCTTTCATTAGGCATAATCCTGTTGCCATATTGTATAAAGGTAGGTACAGTAAAACATAATGATAAAAAAGAGGCGAGGGAGTATGACACACTATGGCGTACTGTTCTTAAATCCAGATTATCTCATCCCTGAGACTTAGCTTTTCCTTTTTGCTTCTGATTAACATGGAAAAGTATGTGACAATTCAAAATTATTCCCCTAATTTCAAATAACCATACCTTTTTTGCTTCTACCTCTGTGGGTGCAGAGACTGCTACTTCTTGTTTTCCTTTCCTCCACAAAACAATACAAAAAATATAACTATTCTGGAACAGGCAACAATTAATGAGCCAAGTATTTATGGTCGCGAACATCAGCTGAAATAAAAGGCATATTTAATCTGCCTCAGCTACCAAGTTTGCTCTTCATTATGGATCAACATCTAAGTATCTACGCAATCAAAATATTTTTGTCATTATATCTTAGTCTGCGTCTTTACACATATGTATATATATTGTGCATGGAATTATCTACTTCGTGGAAGATTTCTGATGGAAATTAGCTGTTCGGCTGTTACGTAAAGTTCTAATCTTTAACGACTTCCTTTATTTAAAGAGTTTCTTTATGCATAGCACAATTATTTATCATAAATTAATTAGGCGCCTGACAGCTTCAGCCTTATTCTTAATAATAATCAGCAGGCACGGCTTTGAATTTGGTGAGTTTAACGCCTTAAGTCTAATCTTTAAAACATTATCCTTTAAACGTATACATAACATGTTATAGTTTAACAGCCCATATGCAGGGCAATATATTTTTAAACAGTTTAATTAATTTTAGATAAATTTTAAAATATTCAAAAACTAAATATTTTATTTTGGATATTTAAATATTCTTTTGAGAACAATTCTTCCTCCGCGCAATTTTTAAGAGCGAAGATAAAAGATGTACTCAAATGAACTTGATACATAATTTTTAATTAACCAATCTATTCAAATATGAGAGATAACTAATAAAAAATATAATTTAAAATTTTGTAGCAGAATAAGGTTAAAATTTAGGTGTCAGGAATTCTAAGATTATAATCTAAATTTTCTTCTAAAATAATACTTTGTTCATTATGTTGTGCAACCAAAGGGATGCATACGTATTACCTCATCCCGCCATAAACCCGAATCGTAAAATTCATGCGAGATGTTAAGTTTAAAAAACCATATCTTAAGATTTGACTTCTTATAAAAAATCAAATTATGACATTTTAACTTAATTCTTTTATAATCACCTTCACCTTTTGACAAAATTTCGTTTAGATGAAAGTAGTAAAAAATGTAAGATGGTTGTTTTCGTGTCATTTCGACGATATTTGATAGCATATGCCCCTCCATACAGACAACATATAGCAGTATTTCATGGATAGGTGTGTTTCAGTCTTTGAAAAGAAAATATACTCTCAGTAGAAATATTTGGATCAAAATTGTAAAAAGTATGAAATTCTTGTAAACTTACGGATAAGGAACTTTTATTATTTTAGATCCACTTTTTTCTTCGAACGTGTTTCTCACGTGATGCTTCTGTTTCAAAGGTTTGTACTCCGGCAGTTTGAAATCCAGCTTAGTAGATGGTAAGATGCCGGTTTTTGCTAAATTGGCAATTCTTTCTTTAGTTTTTTCTGCACTTTCCTGCATAACCAGTTCCTTCATTAGACTCATCTCCAAGAAAGCCGTTCCTTCTTGGAGGAGGCAAGAACACAAGATGCAGAGCACCAGGCAGAGTAAAAACCATCGCGACTCCAGGTGGTTTAGCTTCATCTATGCCTCCTGGAAGTAAAAAATAAACTATTAAGTGCAGTGTAATAGAACAGCTTTATGGTAGGGTGATCCCAAAACTTGCTTGCTTATTACTCGAGTAATTAATGCAAAGTCTCATGCACAGATGCCTTTTGACTAAGAGAAAAAAAGAGAAAGTCATGAACTTCTAATGAAAAAAAGTAAAAGAAACAAAATTTTCAGCAAGATAATTTCTGTATACATTGAAAAGTAAAAAAGTTCTCTCAGCATGTAAAAATAAATAACAAAAAGAAAAAAAGCTTTAATTAATATAATAACATAAAAATTTTAATTACCGTATACGCTCCCGTAATGTCCGCACTTTTTTACTTCCTTGTACGAAGTAAAAAGGAAGTATTGTAATCGCGAAAAGTTTCAGGCAGCATATTTCAACGAAAATATCCATTTTGGCAGCTATCGAATGCAATTTAACGATGTTTTTAGCGTGACATCTGTACTTAAGGACAAAATAACGGACTCTTTCCCCTTCAAATACGAATTATAAAACTGTTTTAAAATTAATTCTGAAGAGAATTTTTCGTGGCGTCTGTACGAACGTATGTACGTACGTGCGTACGTACGTACGTACGTATCTTCGCATAACTCAAAAGCGAGTAAGCCTCAGAACATTAAAACCTTTGTATATAGGCTGCTATAACATGTAGTTTTGCACCTCCCGTATTTTGGTTGCAATCGGCCGCACCAAAACGTATACAAATACACATATATTTACATATATACCCAACTCTGTTACCCGGCTCAGTGAGCTCAGTTTTCTTTACTCTTTATATGTTGGTAAATTGCTACATTTTTTGCTTTAAAATGATTGAAATTATGTGTTTTTCTTAATTCTTCCGGTTACGGATTTTATGCCTTTAGTTAATCTGCATGCAATATTTGTAAGAATTATCAAGCAATTTTTAAAGTTGTTTAATTGCCACTAACCCTGTTTTTAATGGCGGCCATTGATGTTTACATTTGAAACAGGAGACTAGTGGATTTGTTGCCAATCTAGAGAAACTTAGGTTCGCAACAGCAAAGATACGCATTCATTTATTATTGCCAATTAAATCATGCTTAATTCTTTCTGGAATTTTTTCGAGGAAATAAAGCGTTTGAGATTTACTTTCGTAATTTTTAATATAGATATTTTGAGTTTTTATGTATTTTTTTGCCTTGTCGCGAAGTGAAAACTGAATTAATTAATGAGAAATACTCAATCGTCTGTGAAAACTGTTTTCTTTTTTTGTTTTGTTTGCTTAATTTCTTTTATACATAGTTCTAGCTTTATATAGTATTTGAATAGAACATGTGGCAAACGATTAGATAATTCTCTAAATGATATACATTTTGTGCATTCTGAGTTATAATATGAATGAAATATAATACTGTTTTAAGTAACCTAGGCGCCAGAGTGTGGCTATGGTAGACAAAGTGAATTTTAAAGAATGCATTATTCTATTGTGGTTATGCGCTGTCGGCGAGTAGGTTTAATTCAATCTAATAAGTTTAAAAAATCAAGAAAATGCGTATAATTTTATATTCCGTACAAGAAGTCATGTGGGTATACATCAGATTTTTTACACAAAATGCTATGGACATTACACGGGTCGGTCAATGTCGCGCTTTGTTTCTCTTGAAGGTTTGGGTGTAAATTCATTTCAAACAGCCAAGTTAAGTTCTAAATAGAAGAAAATAGCGTAAGTAATAAAAGTATCAAATTTAAAGTTGTCTAATAGCTACCTAAAATTTACAAACTGACTTTCTCTCATCCACATATATAATATAAATTACCCCGTTTGTACGTTATTATAATACTCGGAGCGTATTAGTTCGCACAGGAGGACAATATAGAGGCACAAATTAACCAACTTTTGCAATTTTAATATTTACTTTTACACAAATTAAATAAAGGTTGGTTCTTTCAATATCTTGCACACATTATTTTAAAAAAAAAATATATGTTTGAAGCACTGTATGAAAATCCATTTCGTTTCGTCATTCGCCACAACCAGCCTTCACTGAATTGCGATTTAGGAATGTCTTCTTCTCTTGGCCTAGCAAGCGCTCTTATTTGGCACATTTCCTGTGTTACTGCGTACCCTTGAGCACGCATATCACGGATATACGCCACTGCCACTACTTCTTTTTCGAAGTTCGGAAACTTACATTTCGAACCACGAAAGATCTTGTTTTGTTCCTTGCCGCCAGTTGATCACGCAGTTTGCTCCAATTGCGCACACACTTTTCGCCTACCTTATATACTCTTGCTCCTGCATTTTTTTTCCATTTTCCTGGGTAAATTCTACGGTTTTCAGTTCAAAAGCCGCTGTATAGCTGCTGTATTTTCCCATTTCAAGCACGCTACTTGCTAACTACAACGAACTCTAAATGATACTATGAATGAAAAGAGAAAGCTTGACTTACACAAATGCTCCAAGGAGGAGGGAGGGGAAAGTAAGTTCATTGCAAAACATTATTTCCTGAAAGTCTGTGTAGTGAAAACCTGTTAGGACTGCCTTCATTGGGGTGCGGATATAGAGCGGGTCGCTTTTTTTTTTTTTTTTTTTTACATAAATTTTTATCTGTAAAGTTGGGGTGCGGACATTACACAAGCGTATACGGTAATACACTAGTTAAGTAAATAATAAATATATAGCTAAGGAAAGAGTACTTGAATACTGTTATTCTTAATACAAATAAAACAAAGAAAAATTTGAAGAATAACTGGAAATGCCACTTGAATAAATAACAGTTTATTCTCGGAACTAACAAAAGCTCTTGCAGTATAAAATACTGATCATGTAGAAACTTAAGTAGGGGTGAATCTGAAAAAAGTGGACAAAATTTTACGGGGTGATAAAACGCAGCTGTAAGAGCAATATTCGTCACAGAATGTGTAGTCGGAACACAAGCGGTGAGGAGTTAAAAGGTAGTTTTGCATTGTCACATTTAACGCAAGAATGAGAGGAGATACTTCAGAAAACATTTTATTAATAGGAATTTAATTGATGTGCATGCTCAAAGAAATTGCACGAAAGACCCTGCGCTAGCTGTAATGCAAGCTTCACACCTGCGGGATAGGGACTGACGCACATTTGCGAAGACACAAGGTATTTCTCGAATATTGCCGGCAATAACGGCGATCCTGGCGACTATAGATCTGTATAGATGTCAACGGGGCACTCGGAGATTAGGTTTTTCATATGGACCCGCAGGAAAAGTCCAAACACGAGAGATCCGGTGCTCTTGGTGGGCAAGCTCTGGGACCACCTCGACCTATCCATCGCCCTGGATATTTCGTAGTTCATATAACCAGTCATCCTCTGGGCAATCCACAGTAGAAATTGCCGTTGGATGCAAGGATCGATCTTTTTATACCATTTACTATGCACCTAGTGGCTCGCCCAAACTTTCTGTGACGAATATTGCTTGTGTAGCAGCTTTCTATCGCCTCATAGAATTTTGTCCCCTTTTTCAGTCCATGGCAAACGCTTACTCATTAAGGATTGGTTAGTAATGGCCGAATTTATCTCTCATTTAACAGTCACATCACCAAAAGATTAGGTTATGTTATTTTGAATACGGCAAAGCACACAAAGGCTATCTGCCTAAGAGAAGGGATTATTTGTGGAGGACTTTTCGAAGATAAACTGGTTCATCTTTCTTGTTACATATGGGGAAACGAATAAAATCAACCATGAAACCAGCCCGTTCGCCTGAAATTTAGCCGAGATGGAACTCCCAGCTTTCAGCGGTTTAACTATTGTGGGTTTAACCACAAGTGGGGCCTCATCATGGACAGAATTTCTTAGGATTTCAAATTCAAAACCCAACCACACAGCAGCCTATATCGCTAGCCACTATTAAATGCTGCGGCTTTAATACCTCGAAGTAGATAAACAAGAATTATATAAAAAGAAATGATAAAGATAATGTGCAGAGCAGTTTTTTTTATCTTGAACGATTCAGTTCTCTGAGAAGTGCTACAAGTGGAAGACTTCTGTAAGTACAATGTTTTTATACACTTTAATATTAAAATTATAAAGAGCATTTGGCAAAAACTGCATTTTGCCGCACATTGGTATTCTTGCTCAAAAATATTCATCGGGAATGCCTTAACACAATTCAATAGACAAAGAAGGTTATGCTCTTTCCGCCGGTGATGTCACTTATTTACAGACGTGGGAGAGAGAGTCAGTGACATCACATAAGAGAGAGACGTGGGAGAAAGAGTCAGTGACATCACATAACTTTCTATTATAGTAACTTTGGCCCAACTCATGAGTCGGTGGTAATCACCAAGCACACTCCTGAGGCATGAGTGGCATACTGACAAATTATTCTTCACCATTCGAAAGCAAATAATGCTTCGGTATTTAACTTCGAATGCAGAAACAAAGTTTGCCAACAATGCAGATGATATACAACTTCTAATCATAATTCTGATGACGTGTATAAAAGTGTGATTTCGCCAGTAGATGACCTCCCGCCAGTTCTATGTTTTAAATAGTAGCAGAGAGTTTAGGTTAAAATAACACACCGAATAACGATTATTGGAGAAGTTAAATAGCAAGATTCATAGTAATGTTTGTAAATTTCGTGGGACTAGTTTCGTGGTTTAAATACAGAACCACCTACTTCAGCTACCTAAGTGTAATAACCTTTTGTGTTATAAGTGCTTCGCACGGTGGCGTCGCAGCCTTAGGCAGCTGAAGAAGGTGCTTCTGTATTTAAAGCATCGATACTAATCCTGAAAAATTCACAAACATTACGCTGATTCACTATGCTCATTGTAAACTCACTATCGAATTTTTGAACCAAAAACATTACCTATTGGCGGGAGATAATAAGAAACGTCTACTGTAGTCATCGGAAATTTTACGTTTTGTGTCATTCATTTATAACTCCATGTTATTCCCATAACCGACACAAACAGCACGTGTTTCTGAGACTCCTTTTGTCAATGCTTTATTTTCTTCTTTTTCCCC